ACAGCATCATAGAGTAAGAAATCAGTAATATCAATCATGGCATGGACCATGACACCGTCGTTCCACACCTCCCAATGGTCAGAGGCGTGTACAATAGCCATGTAATGGCCAGGCCCATGCACAATGCAGGCAGAGATGCAGGATGGAGGATTAAACAGCTCACCTGGTAAAGCATGGCGTAGTTCAAGCTGGCGGTTCCTCACCGCTATTTCTAGGACAGCAATGGTAAAACCTCCTTCCCTGGTGTAATTACGATGCTCTGGCTGTAGGTCGGGGGGATCAGCGAGATTAGCVAGATCAACATCAAGCTGCAGGGCAATTGCAAGGAAATCTGATGGTGTATACAACGGCCGATTGAGAACGTGAAGGCAGCTACTAGTTGCAGTCAGACCACAGAGATTGACGGGGATCTCAGGCTGGTTTTGTTGGTCAGTCATTTGTAGATCACCCGTGGGGTCTGCGTAGGGTGGTGCACATGTATGCGGTTCATCCATATGATCCTGGTCAGCCATTTGCAAATCCCTCGTGGGGTCTACGCCATGCGGGATTAAATGCAGTCCAAGCACATCATGTTCCAGTCCCTCAGCGTTCGGGGCCACACAGGGAGGGGCACAAGTACGCGGTTCATCCATATGATCCTGGTCAGCCATTTGCAAATCTCCCGTGTGGTCTATGCCTTGCGGGGTTAAATGCAATCCGAGTTGATCATGTCCCAGGCCCTCAGCGTTGGGACCACATCGTGAGTAGGGACTGTCGGGAGGGGGTTGTCCCGGTCTAGCGCTGGTGCCTGCAACTGCTGTCCAGTATATCTGAGATGGGCTAACAGTGCCCCCATAGATGGAGCAGCAGGGGTTACGCTAAGAAAACAAACGTTGAGGTAGGAAGGGTTGGGTGGGTCCTATGAGCACTAAAAAAAAAAAGAATTGATAAGCCTGTAAAATCCTTGCCCTTTGTCTACTAGATTGTCAAAATTGAGGAGCAGGTGTTGGTTGGTGACGTGGCCGTCCCGTGACGCGCGCGCAGGGGTAGCGCCAGCAGTGAGGTCGACGCGGAAACACAAGTGGAGCGCAGCTATCAGGGTTAGAGGAGATGGAGGTGGGGGGGGAGCTACAACGACAAGCAGATGATTGGCTGGTGACATTGGAGCAGGGATGCAGGCGGTTACAGATGATGGTGGAGGAGCTGTCTTTGCGGTCAATTGAGGAGCCAGAAGACGACGGGGGAGCGATCTCTATGGCTGTTTGGTTGAGGAATATGGCCGGCGACATGCTGGATATCATCTGGTGGCTGGAGGAGGGGCCGGATCCCCAGCTGGAAGCCTGCATCGACTGGAAGAGGGCAGAGGCCATGATGTCTACCTGCTATGACCTCTTCGCTGAGGGTCACAACTCGTTTGGGCACTTTGGTCGCCAAGCATGGTCGTCCTATTCAATTTTTTTTTTCCTTACGAGCACCAGCCCAGGTTGGTCAGACAACGAACATTCCACAGAGCTACCCTAGGCAATGTCTACTAGCCGTACCCTAAGCAGGGTCTTACCTAAGACAGCCCCGGCATATCCCTAGCCTAGCCTACTGTCACCATATCAGGGTTAATTTACCATTGCGGGGGCAGGGTGAACGATCCCTTAACCCGCACCAGTTTACGGCAGGGCCGATTCCTGCCAGGGAAAAACTCCGGCCCATCCCTCCCTGCACCCCGGTTGGTTATGGACTATGGATTGTATGTTTTTTAACACGAGGACATTATCTATATCCCCTGCTAGTGTCATATTGAGGGGGCAAGGTTATCGATCCCATAACCGTCACCAGTTCGCCACACGGCCGATTCCTGCCAGGGAAAACCTCCAGCCCATCCCCCCTTGCACCACAGCTGGGTATCAGTTATAGGCCAGCTGGGTATCAGTTATAGGCTATGTTATCATGAGGGCACTATCTACCCCCTGCTAGTGTCATATCAAGGGGGCAGGGTTAACGATGCTGTAACCCCACCAGTTCGCCACAGAGCCGATTCCTGCCAGGGAAAATCTCCAGCCAACCCCCCCTGCAACCCAGTTGGTTGTCAACTATGGATTGTGTGTTATTATGAGGGCATTATCTACCCCTGCTAGTGTCATATCGAGGGGGCGGGGGTTATCGATCCCATAACCCGCACCAGTTCGCCACAGGGCCGATTCCTGCAACCACCAGTAGTACCTTTCCCATATTTGGTAACTAGTCTGATTAGATCGACATTAAATCAAATCTGGGTATGTATACTGGAAAGGAGTCAATCCAGCCGCAGGTTCACCTACGGCTACCTTGTTACGACTTCACCTCAGTCACTGATTCTACCGTGATAGTCTCTCTGATCAACGATGCGAAAAACATGCTGCGCACTTGACGTGCGTAAGGTATCAAAGTCATTGGTTTATCATAGAGACCATTTCAGGCAAAAGAAATTCCCATGGTGTGACGGGCGGTGTGTAATATACCGGCGCCTCGAGCCATCAACCTAAGGCTGAGCATTGTTTCACTAGGGACAGAGTTGGCAGCTCTATCAGGTGGTCCTCGTTCTTTTTTTTTTTTTTTTTTTTTTTTTTTTTTTTTTGCATTAAGATGGTTCCAAGGTACAGCGGATAAATAGTAGTAGTTATGGATCCGTACGTCTGGGGCTCAGACCTCCTCCGTGCTTGCACGGGTTCGAACTGACTCACTTGGCCACAAGTGTCTTAAACACTACAGCCAGGACACGGGTCTTCAAAAGTGGAACCATACGGGTCGTGATACCCACCCCACCCGTCCAACTCAACACACACCACACACAACACCACACGGACAGGGCAATTCTTCGAACACTTCAGGACTTAACCCGCACCGGTACTTCGGACCTGGTCACTCAAGTGGGACTTATCAATGCCTGCAGGTTCCACGGGCACCTTCCACAATAGTTGATTTAGATTGAGTGCATATGCATGCTACCGCTTTCCAGAATGCATCTGACTGCAATTACAGCCAGAAACTTGATGAATCTGACCGCAATCACATCCAGAGCTTTGTAGAAAATGTTCTAGTGTGAGTATGCCCTGAAAGGGGATTTCTCTTCATTGTCGTGAGCTTTGGCCACTTGGGGAGTGGTTGAGACTCTGTGTATAATTGTGGCGGCAAGCAGTGCCAAGCACTCCATCTCGAAGCCTCCAGGGCTTCGCCATTTTGGAAGGTATATTGTGCAGATAAATGACCAGATTCAGAAATTCAAAATTGAGCTGAAAGGGTCCCTTGCCCAGGAGCTCTATTGCCAGGGAGGGGGACCCACTAGCTTCGTTCAAAACGGTTGAAGCTTCATTCTCGATCACATGTGCCTTTATTTTGTGTTATTAGTACTTGCTACAACTTTTTTTAAAACAAAACGACTTTCTGTTTCAGTGTTTCCTTCCTTTTTTTTTTTTTTTT